CTGAATTTAGCGGATTTTCAGACCGTACTCAGTCCGAGTACAGGCGCCAGTCAGACCACAGCCAGACCTGGATCAGTCCACGTTCAAACTCTTCCAGGTACACGTCCGAGCTCTGAACACGATCTGAACGCGGACCGATGGGCGTCTGACTGGCGCCTTACTGCGGTCTGAATAAGCTCTTAATTTTCAGGCGCAGTTCGGTTCACGTTCAGCCTCTCTTTCTCACACGGGCCCGCCCCGCCGGGCAGGCGTTATCGCGTTATCGGCGACGGGAGGGGAAGACGCTGTGTTGTCGCGCAGGGTGGTGCGGGGCCCTAACGGCGAGGTGCCCTGCCGGCGCGCCGAGGCCACCACGCCGGTCCAGTTGGTGCGCGGGCGACTAGGGGTGCGGTTCAGGGCGTCGTGCGAGAAGAGAGTGCGTGCACGAACCGTGCGTCCGTGCGTGCGTGTGTGTGTGTCAATGTGCAGCAGTGCAACGCCCAATCCAATGCACGGCACAGAGGTTGGCTCGACGTGCGCCGCCCCCCGCTAAACTTGCGCCATGCCGGCCCCACAACTCACCATCCATTGCTGGCTGATCGTCCTCATCGTCGGAATCTTACTCCAGCAGGCCCTCAGGTAAATGTACACGGGACGCTCGAGCAGCCTGCTGCAGAGTAGCCTGCTAAAAAGAAAAGTGCAAGCACACACATTACTCTGTGTGACGGCATGTGTGACGACACGATGACATTCGCTGGAAATGGTATAGACCAAAAAATGAAAAAGCATTGTTTTAAGAAAAGAGTACATGAAGGTCATACACACTTTCTAGAGCCAGTTTGTCACGCTTTTTTGGGTGTTTGGGAGTCTCACACTTTTATTTGTAGATCACCAATAGTATACAATTTAATAAACAATCACAAAGTCATTGTTTTCCGATATTGCAGTTTTTAAAATTAATAACTATAAGTCTGACTTTAATGTTTGGAGACCGAGACCGTTATATTAGGTGGTCCACAGACCTCTTCCTTTCTTCTGCTTATATTATACCGCATCCAGGCGTGCGCGCGGGCTTGCGTATTGTCACGCACCGTGGCGCTGACGACCCCGTACGAGTATGCACCTTCTTTGCATGACTGCCTGCGGTGCAGTATAAGCAGAATAGAGGTAGGGGCCTGTGGACCACACTGTACAAAGCACCACAGCCTCACTTACTTGATGGGAAGGGACAAATATTTCCCAATTGCAATTTCGTGCCCATAATTTACTTGTGGCAACTTTACTTTATAACATTTTCTAAGACAGTTCGTAACAAGCAGGGGAAGTGCACGGCGCTTAGCGTCCTTTCTGGGAACAAAATCTCCCTTCGCCATTTTAAGTGCATTGTTGCAGTTTACACCAAACTCGTTCGGGCTGCAACACCCATGGCGCCTTTCGAGCGGCGGAAGTAGGCAAATCTGCAACACTTTGCTGCGAGCAAAGAAACACCCGACACACTTCCACTGATGTATAGGCAAACCTCACACCGTCGGAGAACACGTTCACGCCCGTCAATCGGTTGCATGTTTCCAGACAACGATTCCTAACCGGACTTTCCTTCCGCAGATCGGATGCCTTCACCCTGTGCAAGACCAACGCGAGGGCTGATAACTGCGCCCATGGGCTCACGACGGACTACTGCGGGAACACGGTGTGCGCCAAGGTCAGTACAGCCGACTGATCTGTCAGATCTGGATGAGTCCGAGCAACTCGGTTCGAGTTTATCGCAAACGCACTGCAGCTATCCGGTTTAGTCCGACTGTCTCGGACTGTCCTTCCGCGCGTGGCGCGTGCGAGTCAACGGCCGGGTGCGTGGGTGGTGTGATCCTGGATCCGACCTTGCATGCATCTCATCGTTTAAGGTGCTTAGTAGAGGTTTCGGGAAGACAAAGGTTAGGAGTGGCGCGAGTCATACTGCAACTTCTTTACAAAGTGTCTGAGAAATCCGGTCGCATTTCGTATAGGTATACTTTACCGCACTTACGCGTGCTGGTGGGTTTGTCTTCCGACTGCCTGCTACACTGTAAATCAGACGTGCCAGGTAGCTAATTCCGGTGTAATTACGAATTACGACGCGGTTTATCAGACACCCAGTGCATTTTTGGTATGTATTCCCGCTTCTGTTTGAAACCAGAGAGAGAGAGAGCACTTAGTTGCTGAAAAATTAGTGCAGTAATTAAAACGGGAAATTGGCATAACGCTGTGACCGACCATTCCGCCGCCCCTTACCAGCCAGACGTCAACAACGGACGTCGCGATCGGGTCAGGTCAGCCCGATACCACATTGTTGTCTGTCTCTCATTGGAGAAACCTAATTAAACGCGAGATAACGGGTCTTCCGGTCCCCTTTTCTGCCATGTGTAGCTTTATTCGCCTATACTCTACGCGAATCAAGGGCAAGGGCACATGTAGCTCGTAAGGGAAACACAAAATTCTAAGCAAGATCGCATAAAAATAAGATATGCAGAGATTGACTCCAGAGTTAGATGGAAAAAAATCGGCAAAGCGTGAACCTATTGTTGTCACGCCGCACTCAGCGTGTTCACCATTGAACACTTTCAAATGTACCAGGTGGCTGATTAACCCCGCGCACTTCTGTAGTTAGACTGTACCGCACGCAGGAGTGCGGGCGGGCTTGCCTATCACCCCTGTCCACGGCGCCTTACGCACTGTTAAGGTCTTACGAAGAAAAATGCCAAATCCTTTGTAATACGAAGAATTTGGACGTTTCGTAGGGAGCAAATCCTTCGTACGTACGAAGCATTTGGCATTTTGCTTCGTAAGACTTTAACTGTGCGGGCCGGGCGAGTAGGCTACCCGCCCTCACTCGTGCGTGCGGTACAGTCTAACTACAAAAGTGCGCGGAGCCACCTGGTACAACTTAGACTTCCCACATAGAAAGTGTTCAACGGAGGAAGGTGAGCACTTAAACTGCGTCTACCAAGGGGTACAATTTATAGTGAACAAAACTGGCAGTTGAAAGTGTTGAAGGGTTGAACACTATCATTCATCAGTTAACCTACTTGACGCTCGAACAGGCCGGATACGCTGGCCAGTTAGTTACGCAACACTTCGCTAACGTTCACATTCTTGCTGTTTGAATTCCAGGGCCCTGGAGAACGGTGCGGAGGCCCATCTAACGTGCTGGGCCAGTGCGGCGAGGGGATGCACTGCAAGTGCGAGGTGTGCAGCGGCTGCTCCATCGAGACGGTCGAGTGCCACTTTGCCAAGGCGACGTGTTTCTGACCATAGCTCCTCCTGCCCGCACCGGGCAGCTCCCGGCCAACGAGCGCGCGTCTCTAGAGGTGCACATCAGTCCCGCGACCACGAGGGCGCGGCGGCGAGGCCTCGCACGGGGAGGCCCTGCTGTCCTGTGCGGCACTTGGCCGCGCCGCGCCGCCACGCCACGCCACGCCACGCGCGGAGGGCCTGCCGCCGCCCTGCACGCGCCGCGGCCCAGAGGATGATAACCCTTTGAACTGACGACAGCTAAGGGGCCCGCCGTACCTCGCCCCTATCAGTCCTATTCCGTCCCAATACCCCCCGTGTGGAGGTCGCATCCTACTCGCAACCGTCCAACGGAGCCCCGTCCACATGGGAGTCGAGCGGCTAAAAACCAGGCTCGTTAACTGCTCACGGTAAAATTTTTACATGAACTTCTTTATGCACAGCTTACTGATTTCGGGGTGCGTGCTACGCTTGCGTATTAAAAAAATTTTACGTAAGCGTAGCACGCACACATATTAGTAATGAGTGAAAATGTGTTAACAGAATTTTATTGTGTTCGACACCATTTTATTATTACTGTAGGTCTTTCACCAAAAAATATTTTCCCATTAGTAAACAGTATTAGTGGTGCCTTGGAACTACTTATAAGTTGGTGTTATTCGGTTTGCTGTGATATCATTGTGTTCGGCGATGTTGCCAATCAGTGACGATGTGTCCATAAAAATACAATATTTATTATCATATCGCACTTATTAATTTTCAGAATCAACGAAACGAACTGTCCAAAATTGTGTTCCTGGCCCCCACCTATGAAAGAACTGATGCTTTCTTGCGTGGGTAAATGCCTGATATTGTGATAATTGTAACCATAACTATATGACAATGTATAATAGGTCCTAAGCAATTGATTGGTTTGTTGTTATGAATTGTTATAGATGCTTTATACACCATCTGTAGCATGAAGAGATGCGGGGAAAGTAATTAACGTTGAAATAAAATACTCAATAAAGACATTTTAACTATAACATGATTTATTAATAGACTAATAATATATCACACTGATAACATACTATGAGCAGGTGCCTAATTATATCAAGAAGAAATTTATGCATGATAGGCTCACAAGACCACTATTAAAGTAGTGTCTCCATGATATTTTACGTTTCATGAGGAGAGGTTCGTAATGCGCATGCTATCGGCGAGCCGCGTTCCTTCGCGTCATCTCGCAAAACAATCATTTGGGGGAGCACCTTATAGAACATGTAAGCTGTAATTTAACAGTGATAAGGAAAATACGTAAAGCATATTGGCATAGATTCGCTCACAATGTAACACAAATACATAAAGAAAAAGTTAACTAGGTAATAGTCATAATATATGTGAATCGTAAACTAAGTCTTTCTGACTTTTGTGCCTTAAGACTTCATGTTGAAGGGTGCTAGAATATTTTTGCTGGGGATGCCTGAGCAGCATCACTACACATTATTTAACAGCTCTTGTGTGAATAATCAATAGGACGGCAATCATGATTGTTATAGTTTCGTGACGAGCTCAAGCTAATGTATTCATCGTGAGGTCATCGATGGCACCGGATTAAGCTCAGGCTGCCAAGTACCGTTTAACTATACGAAAATCAGTCTTTGACCCAACAAGGGTGTGAGTAGTTAAAAACTAGTTTGCCGTAACAAACAATTCTAATCCACCCAAACCAGTGGCTCTCGATTACAGCAAAAACTAGAGGCTACTTAAACTAAGTACACATAAGTAAATTTAATAGTAAACCGTTACATTCCCGGTCCCTGCCTTGTAAAATATGGAATCTAATTGGAAGTTTCTCCTACATAATTAAAATAGAAACCTTTGGGTCACAATTGTAAACTTTAAAGTTATGTCCGTTAATAAAGAATAGCAGATATCCTCAGAAAAGTCAATGCAAGAATTTACACTGAACTATTTCAAACGCTACAACTTAGATCAAGCAAGTGAAAGCATTTTGAAAGAATCGTAGCCACTCCACCCGGGTACTATTCGGTAGAAGTGGCACCCGTTCAATTGCCAACGATCACTCGCAGTGCTCATCGTGCGGATTCTCCTACCAGGTGCTCGTTATTGGTCGCCAGTTGAAGCGAAGATCCAAACTGACCGGAGGTACATGCCGTACAGATTTGATTTGATGATGCATGATTCATACGCAAAAACATAAGAGCCGCATTCTCTACTTGGTAATAATTAAGGAGTGTTCAATTACAGCCCTGATGGATTTGAGGGATGGTTAGGGATGGGACCAACTTGGATGGGACGTCCTTAGGGCGCCCTAGGGAGACGATATCCTGATTTGTTTCAACATGGAACCCCTAAGGATATCCCGGGGATATCCTTGGAATAGGACTAGGGATATCCAAAGGACCGAAATGGGACACATGGGAATTCCTTCAGAATTTAGGGGAAAATTTATTTTATTTTAATGATTACAGCATGTCCCAACCTTCCGGAGCGCCCACCCTCGCGAATTCGCGCCGTCCTTTCATTTTAATCTCAGAATACCTTTATCTCTTACCTGGACTCGAACCTCTGACATCCGATTGGGATGCCGCAGCCTTATCCACTGGACCACGTGGACGATGTTACGAGGACAGGTCCGGATCCTAGCCTGTATCTACGCCTCTGTGTCATCCCTAACCCATCCATAATCCATCCCCTATCCATCCTTGGATCTTAAGTTATTGTTTTTTTGTCCCGGGATCATCCCCATGCTATCCCTAATCCATTTTTGGATCTTAAGTCTACTTTTTCCATCTCTGTGTCATCCCTAAACTATCCTTAATCCATCCCCTATCCATCCTTGGATCTTAAGTTGTTGTTTTTTTGTCCCGGTATCATCCCCATGCTATCCCTAACCCATTTTTGGATCTTAAGTCTACTTTTTCCATCTCTGTGTCATCCCTAAACTATCCTTAATCCATCCCCGGATTCCAGTCTCTATATTCGCTACTTTATCATCCCCAATCACCGTAATCTATCCCGAACATATGTCTATTTATGTCATATTCGAGAAATTAATCTGATTCACATCCCCATACAATCCCTTTTTCTCCTCATTACATGCAACTATTGACGTATGTGTGCCTAGATATTCCTTATATCTCTCTGTCCTTATGGATTCCCTCTATCTTCATGTGTCCCTAGGGATTCCCTCTATATTCATGTGTCCTTAGGGATGCTAGGGGGACAGAATTAGGAAAGGATAGACCGAAAGTCTAGTGGGACCCCGGTGGATCCCTAGGGATGGTACAGGGATGACAAATCCCTAAGGATTTGAGAGGGACATCGATGGAAAGGAGGCCCTAAAGGTGGCCTCTTTAGGGACCCCTTGGGGAATGCACAGAGATGGTTCTAGGACAAGAAGCCCTTAGGACTCCTCAGGGATGGCGTTTCCTTGAACATCCTTGAGGATAAGGAAACCCTAGGGACTTGCGTAGGGCGTCACAAATACGGGAAGGACTCCCCAGGGATTCCATAATGACTCCCTAGGGATTTTGATGGATCCAAAGTAGTCCCTAGGGGTTCCTACCTCACATCCCTCCTCCATCCCCAAATCCATCAGGGCAGCAGAATTGGCAATGGTGTCGTACGGGCTGTAATTGAAACGAAATAACTAAAGTTACACTCTGATGGTCCTCAATGGAGGAAGAGCAAGAATAAAACGTGGCAAACTTTGACATAAAGTGAACTCAGCGCAACGGGACAAAGCTGTAATTGTTTGGTCATACTAATCAGCCCTTCCCAAACTTTTGCGGCATATATCACTTATCATCATGTACATTCCTGACAAAGTGCATTTCCAAATTCTGATTTTTCAAAGTAGTATTTCCGTATGTCTAGAATTAAGGTCTTAAAGGGGTGGTAAATTCAGTGGCCGAAGCATCAGACCATATACAACGAGAGATAATCAATTCTTATGCAACGTAGCGGTTGGTAGCTTCCGCAGTCCGCATACTCTCACGGGGGGTGTCGAGTGAGAATTGGCAGTGGCCCTTCGGCGAGCTGCGCCGCTACACTGCGCGGCCTGCTGCTACTGCCGGCTGGGGTTGGCCTTGCCCACCCTGACGCGCTGCTTGAGGTCCCGGCGGGCGCGGTAGCCCCGGAAGCCGGCCTGTATCTTGGCGGCGGCCTGGGCGGCGTTGTGCTGCCGGCGCCGCACCAGGAAGCCGCGGACGCCCGCCTGGATGCGCGCCGCGGACCGCTGCAGCAGCTCGTCGTCCAGCCCCTCGAGGCCCGGCTCCGCGAGCCCGGACTCCATCATGTCGTGGTGGTGGACGCCCACACTCCGGCACTGCCAACAAAGAACGAGGACACCGTCAGTCTGCACAGTCATCGAGACAGTAATGCTACTAATTTCTATATAGAGCTACTAGTCTTAAACGTACTCGTCTGGCGTGCAAAATTCCTTTTTTATGCGCAGAAAAAAACACACAATAATAACTAAAAAATAAATGGAGATAGCGGGCAACTTTTTAAATACATGCTTGAACATTTCATTTCACTTAGCGTCTTTTTTTGTCATTGTTTGAGATAACCCCGAGTGGACGCTATCAGGCAGACGACGGCGGGGTCTAATAAAAGCAGCATCCAACGGTGACATTGTGAGAAAAGAAAGAGTTGGACGCATAAGTGGTGCTGATAAGTTAGACTTCTCTCCGATTGCCAATTGACAATGGGATAGCGCCGGCATCGCCAGATGGCACTGTGCTCAAGGAGTAGCGCGCTACGTGGCACCACTGCTGTGTGTGCACATTAAAAAGCAAAGCTCCAAACCGTTACAAGTAGGTGGAAGCTGAGTACCAGCCAAGCCCCTAAAAAGCCAAAACTTTATCTTGTCCCACAATTTTTATCGCAGTTAAGGTACCTGGTACCTGCTAACCGATAAGAAGGGGATGATCGAGCATTGAGAAGGCCTCAGGTAACCTACTTGTGAAACGGTGTGGTGCAGCTGCAGTGTTGTTGTGGCAGGGTCGGGGAGGGCGGGGCGGAGGTGGCGAAAACGGCTGCGCCCGCCCGCCGCAGGCACGTAAAGGTGTCGCGGGAGTGGGGAGGGAGGGGGAGGCTGCAGGACGCAGTAAGTTTGGTGCGGTGGGCAGGACCTCCGGCCAGGACAAGCGAGTCTGCTCTACATTCCTGGGCGTTTCTGTTAGCCCAAGAAGCACAAACAAGACTATTTTAAACGCCGCGTTACCCTACCCCCAACCCACTTTTTCCCATTAGCCCTAACGCGCTATGTTGTATGCTGCTAAAGGGAAACAACTGCCCGGCGAAGTCTATTGAGGCAATTAACGGAGGAAAATTAGTTTCAGTAATAAAGAACAGAGAGTAATCGATGCCCGCACGTTTGCATGATGGCCAGATTACCAATTGGCTGCTACGCGACTGGACAATGGACATCCACTCTGCATAACTGCAAGAGAGAAAGGGGCCCTTGGGGCAAGCCAAACCCTCTCATTGCGCACTTCTCCCTTGCATGACAAATATTTATGAAATAAAAACTGTCGAGTTCTTTTGATTTTCCCTTGCAGCCGCCGGGAAGAGTTTGTCAATTTGGCAGGGAGTGAGGACAACTTCATGCCGTCAAGTATAGCAAACAAAATTCAAAAGAAACAAAATCAAAACACCTTTTGCTAAACTTTTTCATTGAGTGCTTCCGACAAAATAAAATCGCCGATTGCAATCAAGGATTGTCCGGAGTTCAGAGCAAACTTCTCTGCAGAGTCGCGGTCGTGCGGGGGCAGCCCCTGTTTATTGATGCAGACTCGCCACCAGCCTTTCCTCGCCCTCGCCCTCGCTCTCGCTCTCGCTCTCGCCGCGGCCCTCCTATCGCAACCCGCCAAAAACGAGCCACAGAGGGCGTCTTGATGGATCGGAACCGAAGGGGGCGCATTCCTCGGGAAGCACACCCGCCTCCTCACCTCGCCGCGCAAAGGGCCGGGCTGTTTGTGCGAGGCGCAAACAAGCCCGCCGCGCATGCACTCGGATATATGGGGTGAACGGACAAAGAGGGGGAAAAATAAAAACAGGTGAAATAGAAGCGCTTGTTTTTCGAAGCTCACACATGAGCTATATTTGCAGTGCGGTGCACTCCCCTCCGTGCGGTCTAGGCACACAATAGTCTCGCTCTTGTGTGCCGAGGCGTCACGCTCAGAGACGCTTACTCATGTGTCGCTGTCCCGAGCTATTTCTGGAGCGACTTTATTTTAGAAAGGAAAAAATGAAAGAAAGTGCCTTGGCTCCAATGATGATAATTGTTACACGCGGTGGTCCCGCAAATCGGAACTAATCTCGAGAGCATATCTGCCCTCCCCCAGCTTCATCACACAAGACACGGAGCCCTCTCCCTAGCCCCCGTCCTATACTATGTTTTAGGTAAGCTGTTCCATGCAGACGAGCGCGTAGGTTCACTGGTAAACAAGTGTGCAAATATTGCACACTTAAGTGTGTAACTGATGATTTTGCACATTACAAGGTGTTTAACTGAACTGCACACTTAGTAGTGTGCAAATATTGAACACTAGTTATCAAAACGTAAACAAAACGTCTAATGTTTGCACACGAAGTGACGTCTAGTTCAGTTCGACATCACGAAGTGTTTAGTTTTTGCACACTTGATACTGCACATCATTCGGTGTGCAACTTTCTACATTTGTTTCACCAGCGTTTACCTATAGGATTTTCCCCCTATCCCCCGAGCGAACAGACACATGGGGCACAGTACAACTAAACAAAGTGCGGAGCCGGTGAAACATCCGGTATTTATTTTTTCAACACACCAAAATTGTGCTATGGGCTGAAATTTCAAAAAAAAAGTGTGCAGCGTCTAAATGATCGGTGGTTCTTTTCGTAATCAGCAATCTTAATAAATATCAATAAACGTAATCAATAGGTAAACTTAAATAGAGTGATACGATATCCAAATGACCATGGATCCCGATCACGCTATCACAGGCCGTGCAAGAAGAAGGGTTGTGGGTCCGACAAAGCGTGCCCTGCGTGCGTAGG